CTGCACGCTCCCACGTTAGCCAGCGTGGACCCCAAACAAGATGTCATTGCAACGTGGTTGAGCAAGCTCTGCGGTGCAAGCTATGTGGCGAACAACTCTGTACTGAAATATGCGCGGTGCAAACTAGAGGCGGCAACGAAACGGCAACGGGCGGCAACCTGGCGAAGCCTCGCCGGACCCACGCAGCGCACGAGGCGGCAACGGGCGGCAGCGTGGTGAAACCCCGCTGGGCCCATCCAAGTACTTTTGGCGCAAGTAGGGAGCCCGAGGGTAGGCGCTTCTTATTCTGAGTTTCGAAATTTGGGCGAAGGGTGAAACCTCCCTTTAGTAAACCTCCCCCTAGTGAAAACGGCCTGGGACCGAAACCGACGGGCCTGGACCCGCGAACCGAAAACGGCCAATTCCTCAATCGACGTGTCAGGGTAGGAGGTCTGTCCACCCCCGAGATATTTGGGCGAAGGGTGGGGGAGGGGGGCGGGCCTGGGTCAAGGCCGGTGCTTCGTCGATCTGCTTCTACCAGCCGCGCACGCAGACTTGCGGGGGACGGGTCCTGACCAGTCGCCCAAAGAGCTAGCCTCCAATAGCAGCAAAGATCTGGTCTATTCGTGAAGGGAATTAGAGGAACAACAAGTGATATAAATCATAAACATAAAAACTCGGAGGCCCGCGCGGACTTCTTGGACCGGCGCTGGACCCCCCCTCCCTGGCGCGCGGAGCGCGCCAGGGGCGGCGCCGGAGGCGCCGCCGGGGGGCCCCAGCGCCGATCCGAGAACTCCGCGCGGACCTCCGAGTTGTTAGGTTTGTGCCACTTCTTGTTCCTCTAGGATATGGAAGGGGACGGGGGCCCGCGCCGATTGGCAAAACAGTACTCCAGATTTCGTAATAACAAAAGGGAGGGGCTCTGGACCCTCCAAGACAAGCCATTTCAGACCTCTCCCGTGGGAGAACCCTCCAAAACATCGTCCCCAGACCCCCCAGGCCCCCAAAGATAGCCTGGAAGGGACCCCCCCCCGAAAGGAGACCCCCCTCCCTTTGTCACGAAATCTGGAGCAGACGAAAAAGCTGCTGCTGCCATGGGAGTCCGCGCCCCTCGGCCGGAAGCTCCGCATCGCGGCGCGGCGCGGCGCCGCGGGGGGCGAGAGCGGCCTCCGGCGGGGAGGTCCTCAGGTAGTCGTAGGCGCGCTCGTCCATGGGGTACTGCTGGCGGAACTGGTCTATCGCTTCCTCGAGCAGGGGGGGGGGAGGGGGCGGAGGGAGTGGGGAAGCAGGAGGAGGAGGAGCAGGAAGAGATAGAGGACGAGGAGGAAGAGGAGGAGGAGGAGCTAGAGTAGATTGGGATCTGGGACTCCCAGAAGACCTGCTTTCGACAACCAGCATGTACGCTCATCCGCAATGGCGGGGCCCTCGTGCTGGTGCGCGCGGGCACACGTGGGGCTGCCCGAACCGATAAGGATTCGGCTATACGCAGGAGTGACCCTGGGTAACAGTGACCTTTGGTGCGCGGCTTTTTGGGGGCCGCGGGGGGACCAAACCTGGGCGCGCAAGACGCTGCTACCGCTGCGTTTTCAGCCATCTGGGGACCCATCTGTGCCCGCACCAAAGGTCACTCTGGCGAAAAGTCACTCTTACGTCCAGTCGCAGGATTGGCTGTCGGCTAGCACCTCCTGCTCCCCCAGCGGATCACCCGGGCGATCGCCGACACATCATTCGGAGGCTGCCAGGAAGCTTCGATGGGCAAGGTCGGTCTCGATTGACCGGAAGCGCCCCCCAGCCCGACCTGAGGCCCCACCGCTCGACATGAGGGGCCCCGGCAACCGTAGGGATCACCTGTCTCGAACCAGACTTTCACTCTTTACCAGCCTGGAACATACCCCTATCCCTATGCTGGGCATGTCCTCATCACGATGCCAATCTTAGGGATTCCCTGATTTTTTGAGGGCGAATGCCTAAGATTGTCATCGCCTTTTGGCGTGTCAATCTTAGGGATAGGGATACGTTCGAGGCTGGTAAACTCTAGACGCCCAGAACGAGCACAGAGAAAATGGGCAACATGCCCAGCAAGATCTGTGGTCCAAAACCGACCGCGGCCGCTGGTGGGCCGGCGGCTTCTTGCGTTTGCAGAGTGCAACGCCCGCGGCGGCGCGGACAGCGAGTCCTGTTCAAATGGATAAGAACTGCTGTTGCGTACCAATTCTTCCCGTAACCATTTCGATCGACCCGACTCTCGCTGTTCTTCACAGAGCACGGCCCTCCATACAACAGGTGCGCGTCGGTGCCATTGGGCCGCGGCGAGGAGGAGGGGGCGGCCCCCCGCGCTTCCGGGGGCGGAGGCCCGGGGAGGCCCGGAAGGCGGCCGCCATCTCAAGGAGGATGTTCCGCCAAAACGCTGACATCGGTGACGTCCCCTTCGGACCTGCGTCACGCTGTTCGGGGGGGGCGGGGGGGGGGGAAAGACCATCCTGGCGAAGGGCCCAACCACATGCAGTTGCGAACGCCGTGCCTTCGGGGGATCCCCTCCTGGGACCACGAAGCATGCGACGGGTCTGCTGATCTGGGCCGCCATGTGGGCGCTGCCACCGGGGCTTAGGTGGAGCCCACTGAGGGGCCGGGAAGCGTATAAGGAGTGTTTCGCAGTGGGGCGGGGCCGCCACTGGGGCCTGCGGTGGAGCTCCACATGGGGCCACGAAGCGACGTGCTGGGTGATAGGAACGCATGCGAAGACCGCCACTGAGGCCTTCAGTGGAGCTCCCTATGGGGTCACGAAGCGCTGCACTGGGTGGGGACACCGCATGCGAACACCGCCGCTGGGGCTTTCGGTGGAGCTCCTCACGGGGCCACGAAACACTGTACTGGGTGGGACGACGCATGCGCACACCGCCACTGGGCCCTTCGGTAGAGCTCCACATTGGGGGCCGCCACTGGGGCCCTACGCACTGGGGCGGGGCCGCCACTGGGGCCTTCGGTGGAACTCCACATGGGGCCACGAAGCTCTGTACTGCGCTGGGGAAACGCATGCGACCACCGCCACAGGGCCTTCGGTGGAGCTCCCTATGCACGAAGCCTTGTATTGTCTCGGAGAAACGCATGCGAATACCGCCACTGGGGCCTTCGGTGGAGCTCCCTATGCACGAAGCCTTGTATTGTGTCGGGGAAACGCATGCGAATACCGCCACTGGGGCCTTCGGTGGAGCTCGATGGGGGCCACGAAACGCTGTACTGGCTGGTGGAAACACATAGGAACACCGCCGCAGGGGCTTTCGGTGGAGCTCCCAGTGGGGCCACGGAGCGCTGTATTGGTTGAGGAAACGCATACGAACACCGCCACGGGGGCCTTCGGTGAAGTTCCGCATGGAGCCACGAAGCAATGTCCTGGGTGGGGGGAACGCATGCGAAACCCGCCACTGGGGCCTTCGGTGGAGCTCCCTATATGTGGGTACGAAGCATCGTGCTGTGTCGGGTAAACGAATGCGAACACCGCCACTGGGGCCCCTATGGAGCCACGAAGCATTGTCATGGATGGGGGATACGCATGGGAACACCGCCACTGGGGCCTTCGGTAGAGCTCCCTATAAGACCACAAAACACTGTACTGGGTGGGGGGAACGCATGCGAACACCGCCACTGGGGCCTTCGGTGGGGTCTCTATGGGGCCACGCGGCGATGTACTGGACGGGGGCATTGCACGCGAACATCGCCACTGGGGCCTTCGGTGGAGCTCGCTATGGGGTACACTTGGCGGAAGGTACGTATGGGAACACCGCCACTGAGGCCTTCGGTGGAGCTCCCTATGGGGCCACGAAGCGCTGTACAGGGTGGGGAAAACGCATACGAACACCGCCACTGAGACCTTCGGTGGATGTCCCCGTGGGACCACGAAACGTATGAGGGGTGTGGCAAACTGGGGGAGGGGGGGGGGCGGCAAGCGAATCATGCCACTGTGGCCTTCGGTGGAGCCCCCTATAGGGCCACGAAACGTGTGACGAGTGTGTCAAAGTGGAGGGGGTGCGGCATGCGAACCATGCCACTGGAGCCTTCGATGGAATTCCACCTGAGGGCCACGAAGCGTGTGAGGAGTGTGCCGAAGTGGAGGGGTGGGATGCATGCGAACCACGCCACTGGGGCCTTCGGCGGAACTCCCGATTGGGCCACGAACCGTGTGAGGGAGTGCCGAAGCGGAGGGGGCACGGCATGTGAACCGTTCCACTGGAGCCTTCAGTGGGGCTCCCTATAGGGCCACGAAACGTGTAAGGGGTGTGTCAAAGTGGAGGGGGGGCATGCGAACCATGCCACGGGGGCCTTCAGTGGAGCTTCCTATGGGGCCACAAAGCGTGTGAGGGGTGTGTCAAAGTGAGGGCAGAGGCAAGGGCAAGGTGTGGCATGAGGGATGAGCGGGAGAAGAAGGACGAGGAGACGCGGGGCCGATCTCTCCAAAACGAGGGCCCAACACCACAGGACTGTCGGGAAAAGGGTCAAAAGAGAGGACTCGCTCGCTGAAACAGGCCGCAAGCCCCAAGACGCTCCGAAGCGCGTCCCCTGGACAACCGAATGATCCTGGGTGGGCCTGGTCTGGTTAGGGCCCCGTTTGGCGTTCTCCGTGTGCGATCTGGACAGCCCTGTAAGCGAGGTTATGGGCCAGCTCCTGCGCCAGAGGACTCGTAGACAGAGTGCGCACTCATGTGCACTCGAATCAAGGGCCTACAGTCGGGGCGTTGACCTAAGGAACCCTAAATAAGGAACGAGGCCCCTCTTTTCCATTGGTCAAACTTCGATTTCCCGTCGAAACACCAGGACAACCTGAGGCAAGCTGTGAAACACTTAAGGAACACGGAGCCCCTCCCCAACGAAAAGAGTTCCTTCTTCAGCGACCCGACTGTAATCTAGGGAACACGGGGAAGAGTGCCAGGCCCAGGAAAAAGCCTGATGCACACACACACGGGAGGCGCGAATCAGCAGTTGATTACCCCTGACACTGCCCTGCTCTGATTCCTCGGGGCTCCGATCTAATCCTCGGTCCTCGACTCTGGGAAGCGGGGACTTCTCCATGACCACCGCCTGTGTGATCCATCTTCTGGGATCTCGGTAGGTGGCGGATATGGATACTCCAGATTTCGTAATAATGGGAGGGGGGTTTCATTTCGGGGGGGGGTCTCTTCCAGGCTATCTTGGAGGGCCTGGGGGGTCTGGGGACGATGTTTTGGAGGGTTCTCCCACGGGGGAGGTATGAAATGGCTTGTCTTGAAGGGTCCAGAACCCCTCCCTTTTATTACGAAATCTGGAGTATATGTGCCCCCCCAGGGCCCGAATATATCCATACCCATCGCCTGCCGAGCTCCCCGAAGATCCATCCTCCAAGCATTGGTCGTGGATAAACTCCCCGCCTCGGATCCTCGTCCCTCCATTTGCTAATTCGGCGCGCCGCCGGCGCCTCCGGCAGCACGGCACCCGTGGCGACCGCGCCCAGCGGAATGGTGCCTGTGATAGCCTGGTAGGCCGCCTGGCGCCGGGCGCGCGGGGAGCTGGAAGGAGGCCGAGGCTTCGCCACGAGAGAGACTGGTCCTGCCGGTGGATGTGGATGAATTTTGCCCCCCTGGGGGCACGACTTTTATCCATGTCCAGTGCACCTCGGCCTTGTGGCGCCCCTTCCAAAAAAATCGAAGGCGCACTGGATATGGACATAAATCTTGCCAGCAACTGGTGCTGCAAGTGTTTCGTATCCCGGCTCCCGGGGACAATCAGTCATCGGCTCAAGATGAGTGGGGGTCCCAAAACGGTGTGGTGGACAGACAATGCGTGACCCCGGAATCCCAGAAGAATTCACCGCACGAACCGTCATTGCACGGTTTGGGGATCTTGGAGGCTCCGTGTGCACGAGAATTGCTCGGAGAAACTCGCCCAGAGTCCCATAGCCGTGCGCTCACCCCGCATCCCCTGTACACGTGTGGTCACCGCAACGTGTGTCGGCTGCACGTAAGAGTGACCCTGGGCAGGAGTGACCTTTGGCGCGCGGCTTTTTGGAGGCGCGAGGAGGCCAAACACAAGCGCGAAAGACGCTACTTTCAAACCGAGCGCGCACCAAAGGTCACTCCGGCGAAGGGCCACTCTTACGTGTAGTCGAGGGTGGGGACCCCCGAGATGAAGAGCTGGCCCGAAGAGAAGGCCCGGGGGTCCAGGATTAGGTCGGGCATGTCCTCCTACCGGCGAATTTTGGAAGAAAAGCGAATCATAATCAAATAAACATTTAAAAATAGTAGAAACATCGTCCCCTGACTATTCTTGGATCATTTTTGAATATTCCTCCTGTAGAGAGACACGCCCGACTGAAGTCTAGGACCCATTTATCTCAGGACCCGCTTCCCTCGTGGCCTGTCTCCCTCGAGGGTCGACTGAATTCGATCCAGGTCGCAGGAGCAAACACATCGAACCGATGAATCGGATCGAATCGAAACGGGCGTCAGATCGGGCCGCATCGGAACGGAATCGGAATCGAAACGGGTCGGCCGCGCCGGGATACACAGCAGCGCCATGCCGAGCATCAGGCCGCATCGGCTCGTCGGAGAATCGACATCAAATCGGATCGAACCGGCCGAAGTCGACACCGAATCCATCGGTTCGAACTGAACACTGGGGCGATGATGAGCAATAACAGCACCCCAGGCCCCTTGGAAAGGAGACCCAAGTTAGAAGGGCCCAACACATTAGGGATGGGGGGTCTTTTCTGCAGGTGTATCAGACCAAGCCGCCCAGATTGATGATCCCTGATGCGAAGACAGGAACCTAAGTGAGGCCACGTCTTCACTGTGCTAATTAAGATTGAGATTAGAAAGTCCAGGGCTCGCTAGGGGCTGGTTTACTTTCAAACAGCCGAGCCCCTTCCGAAACCCTCCGAAGACCCTCCAGGAAGGGTTCCTGTAGAGGCTTCTCGGAGGGTTTCGGGGTGGGTTTTGAAAGGATTTCGCTGTTTTGGGGGGAGGCCAGGCCGTAGCGAATCCTGGGCTTTCTATTTGGACGCCCGAGATGGGTACTGAAATAATGGGCACAATGCCCAACAACAAATGTTGTCCCAAACCAACAGCGGCCGCTGTTGGGCAGGCTGCCTTCTGTCTCAAGTGGACACAGGCCGCGGAGGCGCGGACAGCGAACCCTGTTTAAAATGCACAGGAACTGCTGTTGAGCAGTGTACCCTTTCTTTCCGTCCCCATTTCGTTCGTGCCGATTCTAAGATTAGGTTCGACGACATTTCGTTCGTGCCGATTCTAAGATGAGCTTCGACGAGATTTCGTCCGTGCCGTTTCGTTCCTGCCGATGTGAAGGGCTCTCTGGTGTTCGACGAGTCGAGGATCGAGCTCGCGGGCACGGCCGGAGCTGCCTCGAGATTTTACGGTCTCCCCGCCCGAGGAGGCCGGCGCCCGGAGGGGTGCTGGCACCGTCAAAGTCTAGGACGGGCTCGTCAAAAAGCGTCGGCGAACCCGAGTTCCGGCGTACTCGTGTCTTACGTTTCCC